TCTTTAATAGGTAATAACCTATAAGGACTAGACGTAGGAGAATTAGCTTAAAGTTATCTAGAGCGATAAATACTCTATTTAACGCGATAGTGAAAACTAGCGAGAATAGGTCTTTCGCACACCTAATTAGAAGTAGGATAGAGATAAAATAAGTATTAAGGATATATCAAAGATATATCTATTATAATTTAGGCTATAATCTTCGGTAGCGAATCTTCTAATATATATATCTTATCGCGCGATTAGGAGTTAGTAAAGATAGGCTATTTAGCTAATTCCTATCTTAAAGTCCTTACCGATAATATTCCGTTAATCTAGAGGTCTAGTCGGATCTTTATATAAGATAATATATCTATTTATAAAGCTAAAAAGGTCACGAAGTGGCTTAATATCAATAGAATAACTATAATAGAATAGTCATTATTTTCGCCGGATTTAAATCCTATCGAAAACCTATAGTTTAAGCTTAAATACCTAATTAACGCGATCGATCTAGAGCTTTAGTATATAATAGGAGACTCGTAAGAGACTCTCGATCGATTTATAAGTACTATTTTAAGGGTATAGGCGAGTATCGATAGGAAGAAGATTAAGAATACTATTAAGTCGATAAATAAGAGAGTTAACGCTATTATTAAAGCTAAGGGCTAGTAGACGCGATTTTAATCTAGACGATACGATATTCTAAGAGTGCTTATATTAAGCTATTAATTTATACTAATTATATTATTCTACTATAGTAGATATATAGAAAAAACTTATGAAAGGTATGGGGGTATAGTGGTCGGGGAGCGTACTAAGCGGCTAGTGTCCGGTGACTTTTGCGGACCTACTGTATGTTCCAGTCCGAAAATCCGTTTATACGACGTAAGAGCTCTCTCAAATAGAATTGCTGCTTACACGACTTTGCTTTGTGTATCTAATATACACGCTAGGCATACTACACTCTTAAGCGTTGAAATGTTCTCTCTTCCTAAGATCTTTTCCTTTAAACCTAGGACGTGTCGAAGTAGTTCCTTAGCTTCGAAGAACTTACATTGATCAAGCAATATAATCGCGAGGTTTGTCATACTGGTCCAAGTATCTGGATGTGCTACGCCTAATGCTTTTAAGCATAGCTGTAGCTCATTTCGGTGTAATGATTCTACTTCTGTGTACTTCGTTTGTTTGCCGAGTGTCACGGCCGTGAGCATAGACAAGACTAGATCTGTCCCGACTCGACGACACGTCCCATACCGGTCAACACTACGCTAAACAAAGTCGAACCGTAACGGACCGACGTTATCCCGGACGAGATACGGAATAAGCGTATGTCTCTAATTAGTTATATAGGAAGAACGGCTTAGTACACTAGGGCCTTAGTAGGGGTAGTCGCTATATAAAAGTGTAGCGCCGCACCCTTTCCTCCCTTCCTTCCTTTCTTCTTTCCCTTAGTTTAGTCTCTCGTTATATAGGAATATATATCCTTGGAGTCTTCTCCATCTTATATGTGCCCTACCGTCACACCGAGTACTGTGGCTAGATTATTCATAACTGTCCCCCTTGACCTATCTTCGAGAAAGGAATCGAAGTAGAGAATTCTTTGAAATAGGCTCTCAGCAAGCTTTAAATAACCAGCTTCTACTGATTGTATTGCTAGTTTGTTAATATTATCTACATAGTTCCAGTCTGTATATGATTGAAGATCTCCATATATAGCTACTATATGATACATCAGAACACCCTATGACTTGTTTCCGTCTGAAAACCGTCATAAAGTACGTTGTTGAATTTCAGATATAAGGGGACTCAGACTAAGAACCGGAATGCGACATCTATTAATAAGACCTATAATTAGCTGACATACGGTCGGTGTAGTAACCGATATGTATGGCTATTATTAGTGAAATTCAAAGTTTATTAATAAGCAAGATCCATTAAATTAGACTTATATATTTATCATCATAAACCTATAAAGGAAAAATACCATAAATTTAGATTTCCTGAAAATCTATCTATTTATATAAGATATGTTGAAACACTCCTAGTTATATCTACTATTCAGTCAAAATGATAGTCTCAAACGTATCGAAACCGTTGAAAGATGATCGTAAAGTCGAACCGTAAGCCCCTACATCAACTATCTCGACGTAGTCACCAACTTCAATATCCGCAGGTAGATTGAAGGAACCCGGCATAAAGTCTGGGTCATAAGTCGGCCCGTAGAACGAGAACGGTAAATCTGGTGCATCGGATAGCGTATCCCGAAGGAGTCTAACGAAGAAACGCCACTTTAAGTGCGCAGTATCGGAGAGAGTGCCGTACGCGCCATCGTTGATATAAAGGTCCAGCTTACGCCGCTTCTCCACTCGAATAATGACTAAATGATATATAGCGTATAGCGCTCGACCTAACTCTGCCTAAAGCTAGGTTATAGGGGCGAATTAGAGATTACGAAAGGTATAATTAATTGCTTTCGTAAATTCCGAAAGGGGTAGTGCCTCCATACCAGGATATATGATAGGAAACCCACTACTAACGTCGATAATGTCGATTTTGACTTCTACGTCCGTTACCAAAGTATAGACTTACTATAATGCGTCTTGATAGTCCCTAGGATCCATTGCCTAGCTTCCTACGTGGAAACATATTCCTAATCGATAAGTGCGTTCCGTTGTCTTTTGGAGTGACGTAGTTACTGCTTCAAGCGATTTACTCGTCGCCTAGAGTAAAGACTTAGCCTCTTGTCCGGACACCCCAAATTTGGGTGCAAGATTTAGCTTCGTATGTCGCGATTCTACCTAAACGCGGATATATAGGGTTAAATTAGTGGCGCGTTAAGATCCAATAGTGGTAGCCTATATAATCTTTTCTAATTCGTTCAGAGAATCAAGACTAAACACTCGTATATAGTGGGAGAAGTAGGCCTCTCGAATCGATTCCTCAGCCTTAACCGGATTTATAAAACATAAGGTAGCTGCCGGTAACACCTGAGACACATATCGTACTTCGTTAATAGAAGCAATATCGAACTAGGTAACACCGTTCTCCCAGAGTATCCGCACTAAGTCGGGGTAAGGATTGGCTTTTACTGCGTATATCGTTTGACCTGTAAATGATGTGATAAACTGCTTTGCTGCATCCGCTGCTGCTTTTGGATGAAGAATAGTTATCGGAAAAGGCGAATTAAGCTTCTGAGCTTTTTGTAAAGTATCGTTGAAATTTCTTTGATCCGTTAATGGGCGATGGTGATCTTTCGATTGAAAAGCTAGCCGAGCAGTCCCGGAGTTTCCCTCTTCAATTCGGCCTCTTAATTTTGTAATAGTATCGTTCTCCGCTGCTGAAGAGCTATTGTTAAGTTGTCGTGCTGGCGGTAGGCGAGAGGAAGTAAAACGATAGAAACGAACGCCGGCCATATTTGAACTACAGTAGAGAAACTGTCGTCGTCTTTTTAGAGGAGTTTGGGATGCAGAGGTGATAATAGCCTGGCTTATTATCTGAAGATAACATTCATCTTCGAATCTCTATAGGACGGTTTTTATTTGTAGGAAATAGGTATATCATTAGGAAGGTACGTGTCACCCGGGAAGCAGGGCTGTTACAATGACTGTTACAATACGCTTCCCGGCCGACAACACCCCATGGGGCGAACGGCCCCCAATGCCAAGTCGGCCCCCAATGCCAAGGCGGCCCCCAATAGGTATACACAGAAAGAGATAATAGGACCTCTATTCTCGCACTGCTGGAGAGGCCCTCAACAGTGCGAGAAGTCGATGTCTTAAGGACAGCTTTATACAATACAGA